TACCATCTTTCTGAAATAAGAAAGTTAAACTTGGAAAATGAAGTCTATTTGCTCAGTTAATCGGTATTATTAATTTGCTTTTTAGAAAACTTAAAGGTTATAAAGAAAAATGATCAATACTTTTAATTGGCCATAAGATATTAGCTTTAAAATTAACAGAGGAAAAGAAAATATAATTACGATTGCCAAAATCTACCAGTTGGCAATTCCTTAACCTAAACTTCAAAGCAAGCGTCTTATGAGTACCTCTAGGATCAACCAGCATCATACTGCTCTGAAGAAAAAGTAACATGTTTTAAAAATTTCCATTTTCTGTTGCTTAAATTTATGATAATAAAATTTCTGTAATCATTTTTACCAAATGACTGCAGAGTTTGGGGGTGGGGTGTGTGTGGAGAAAACCCCAACAGCTTTTTTTCTTTATGTATAAAGTGGTATCTCACTATGAAGACATCTTTTCTTGATGGCCTCCCATGACTCATGGACTCTGACAAGGACCCTGCTGTAGGATGAGTGAAAAAAGAATTGGCTTCTTCAAAGCCATTCGTGAACACTGAAGTCACTATTAAGAGTCAAAAGAAGATGGAAATGCTAACTTTACATTTTTCTTCTTTTAGTTATCAGAGGGAATTAAATCTACGTAGAATTCTATTTTTAAAAATCAAAGTATTACCTTGTTAAAGTTCTCTAGAAATGATACATCGTTAAAAATTTAATTTCAATGAAATAAATAACAGATGAAAGGAAAACAATGTTTCAACATGTCTTGTAATTTGCTTGATCATTAAAAGTTTATTTCACCCTAGTGCTAATGATGAATTATAAAACTGAAATTAACTACCTTCATTCATTCACCAGTTACTTATAGTGACCCTTCAACCTGTAGGGAAATACAGCTGCATATTCTACTTCAGTCATTCTACTTTGTAAAACACAAAAGTTTCAAGTTTGGAACTTGTGAAAGAATAGACTCAGAATTCTTAAGAGAGAAGTCAGTTCTCTGAAGGTTAAAGCAACAGTTTGAATGTTTCTGGCTGAGCACCTAATAGCAATTAGGTGTGATCTATAACAATACAACTTGGATCACATTTTATTTATGCTATTATTGATTTCTGCCCAAAGGGATATAATCCCAGTGAGGTCAATCTACACATACAGTTACTTTTATTATTGTTTTATTCCCTAGGATAATTTGTGGTGGCTCACAGAAAATGTGATGAAATCCTGCACCGGAGCAAATCTGGATTGAGTAGCCACTCTCCACAGAGCACTATGTGGAGAGTTTTGGGACTTGGTCACGCCCATTTCATTTCCCTATCACGCTCTTCCATTCGCAGAGGGTAACAAAGCATCCGCATGAGGCATATCCTATTGTAACGGACGAGGAGGATGCAAACACGGCGAGAAGTAAAGACCTTCTCTGAATACAACAGGGTTCAACTCAGGGTGCACCGAGGGCACCAGCCCTGAGTCATGGACAGCTTTTGGAGACTGGAGTGTCTTTCTAGACCTAAAAGAACTCTGAACACCAAAGAAGGACTTAACTTAAGGTGAGCTACATGTTTAGTTGCTTTAGAGATATCAAAAAAATTTGGTAACACTAAGGTTTTATAATATTAATGCAACATTGTTTTAAGGACTATAAATTACCAATAAAGATATGAAATGATAGTCTTATTCTAAAAGTGAACACAAGAAAATGAGTAAATTTTAGTCCTAGATTGTTAAAATAAAGTTGCTAAGCTGAAACCAGAATTGGAAGCTTTATCCTCTGCTATTCTAAATATTTACATCAAGTTTCAGCTGCTTTTCTATCATACAGGTGTGTACAGCACGTACCTTTGCCAGTGGATTAATCACACCAACAGTAGGGCTTGAGTTAAACATTTTGTTGAAGTTAGTTTCTCGATTGACTAATTCCAGCTGATAAAATTTATTATCCTCCTATGTAAAAGAATTTTAAATATCTTTTAAACATTCCTGATTGGCTATTTTTAAATATTTCCATTCTACATGTCATTTCATTCAAAATTTTGCAAAAAATATCTACAAGCACTGTTATACTGTCTTAAAAATGTTCTAGATTTGCTTGCGGTTGTGTTAAATGGATTACTGGTGGGTGAGTTTCCAACACCTGCCCAACCCTCTACCCCATGAATTTTCTCTACTTTCCAATCCCTCTTCCTTCTAGAACGGATTTGTTTTATTTGGTCGTCTCTTCCACAGTGCTGGCTGTGTCGTTTGAGCAGACCTAACTTGTGGGACCAGTTGTTTCTGTACAGGAAAAGGACAAGAATAATTTCCTGATTTTGAGTGAAGGCCATGGGTACGAGCTCATCCGATCTCTGGTGGTGTGCATCGAGCTGCTCAGCACTGGGTCCACGGTGTGAAACCACCTGGCAATCTCCCCTTGTAAAGACTTAAACTCCTGAAACCCTATAGGCAGGGTCAGCATGAGCCAGAATTGACTCAATGACAGTGAGTGTGGTTTTCTGGTTAATCTTCTCCCTGAGACATGTACTATATCACTGGGAATCAAAGGACAGAGAAAAAGGGTATGACCCATATCTAACGATGATGAACTTGCCTTTTGGCTTCACTACTGAAAGGTACTAATTAAACTAACCAAACCATAGGGACCAAGCGTGCGTGTGATAATGCAGCGTTGGGCTCCAGCAGATGGAGATTCTTCATCCCACTTAGTCACCTCTCATTGCCACCCAGTCAGCGATTAACCTTGCAGTCCACAGAGGCAGCAGTCAGCAGGCTGCAGTAGGAAGGGATGAGTGGGCTCTGGTGCAAGAAAACCTGTGGCGAGTTTCCTGGTGCTGTTGCTGAATAGCTATGTTGCTTTGGAAAATGACTCCTTTCTCTCGGGTCTCACACTTTCTACATGATGAAGATAGGAGACAATAATGGACAGACCTACTCGGTCACATAGGGTGCTGGAAGTGAAAAGCCGACCTGAAGGCACCTAATAACCAGAAAAATTGTTATCAACTAGACTAGCAATCTGCCAGGCTGGACTCATAATGACTGGGAAATCAGTTGGTTAGTGATTGAGGGATCAAACACTCTACCCTCTCTAGCACCTGCTACTGCATCCCCAAAAAAGAAAGAGAGAAAATGTACTTAGGATTTCTTTGCATACCTATTTCCACAGTTTTCAGGAATTGAAACTGTTGTAGGAACTGGTTAATACTGTACTATTTTTGAGTTAGTGGCAGCAAGAAATCTTGCTTTAATTATTGGACAAGACAGAATTTTAGAAGACCCTGAAATGTTTATAAAACATCAGTAACTTCCCTGAGTGCCTAACACCTCAGTATGGATTGAAGATCTGTAGGAGAGAGCCTATGGGTTTTCTTACACATGATCAGGACACCCTATGCAAAGATGCTCTTTGGGTAAGTAGTCTATGGAATATGCATTTGGAAATTAACATGACTGAGCTTGAAATTACGTGCATGGATGTGTTGATTCTCCGTTCCTGTCAAATTCTAATTCTACATTTAAAGATGCACACAACCTGTAACAGTATATTAACTATACATTGGCAATAGCATATTAGTGAACACTGAACATGTATTAACATGATTTCTTTAAAGAAAATTATAGGAAAAGAAGCACTTACAATCCCTTTAATCTGATACCAAACTTAATAAAAAGTGTAATACTTTAGAGATCCCTTCATTCATACATTATAAACTCTCAATCATAACACACATTCTATAATTTGTTTTAAAATTATAATTTAAAAATATTTCCCAATCAACAGTCTATTGATTACTATCAAGGTTAAACCATAAACAAGATATCTTACAATTAGTTTCTTTATGACCTGGTCTCTCTCTGAAAGCATGGCTTTTAATTCTGTAATCATCTGTATATCTTCTGCTTTTGATTCTCTTTGTAGATATTTTTCTTCCATTTCTTCCAGTCTAAAAACAAGACAACTTTCAGCTCATTGAGATGACTCAGACATGCTCCTTCATGATATTCCTTTTCAATATTTACTATTTACTCCAGTTGATCACACACCCAAATGTAAAAGAAAGTTTTAGTTTTAGCTTTTTTTTTTGTTGCCTAAAATCTTGTGTAATGTGATTGTGTTATTAATGGCTTTCCAGGAGCAGATGAAAGTTGCTTTAAAAAATTCACTAATTTTGATTTATTTGAGAGAAAGCAGGTATGAGGTGAGGGCTCTGCCCAAGTTAAATGGGGCTCGTTTAACAAACAGTTTTGATGCTAGAAATGTAGACTTAGTATAAGGAGCACTTGTGATGAAGTAAGGCTTGGTAACATATGTAAAAAGGACAGACAAGATAGAAAGGAAAGAGGAACAAGGAACACATACATATATGTATACATAAACGTCATCATCCATTTCTGGATTGTGAAAAATACCATTTATAGAGTCGTCCTATCAGCCGATACATACAAAAAGGTGAGCGAGGTTCGTTAGGTAAGAATCACATTCTTACGTAGTCCATTTTGCCTCAAATGCAATAGCGGTAGGACAGAATGCCACAATGCTACCGAGGGCTCTGGAGGAGAGGCTACTTTTTATGAGCAGAGGCTACACTGACCTAAAGAATCTAAAGAGACAAGGCGGGGAAGATTAAAGAGCAGACAAGTGTCCACTGATGGCTTAATTTGAGAAAACATGGGGAATAAAGCATTTTTAATATCTAATTTTAGAGAATTAAATAATTAAAATGTAAAATTTTAATGGTTGACAAAATATAAAGCATTAAACTTACATTCAGTAATAATGACTAATGAATATTGTAGATGGATTCATTACAACAAATACAAATACAACAAATACAACAGTGAGCCAATAAAGGACTACTGCAAAATCATAGGACTCTTAATTAAACAAAAATATCTACTGTTTCTTGATTGATCTTCCCTCAATTTATGTACACTTCTGAAGGTGGTGTTTTTATCTCTCTGTGTTGGTCTGAGTAGACTAGAGAAACAAATCCAGGAAGACTCATAAGTGTATAAAAAAGGGCTTTATATACAAGAGCAATTGAATATTGAGAAAACATCTGAGCCCAGTCCAGATCAAGTCCATAAGTCCAATATTGGCCCATATATCTGATACCAATCTGTAAATTCCTCTTCAGACTCACGAAACACATGCAATGGCGCTGAGTACAGGATGAGAACAGGCCAGTGGGTGGGAAGTCTTGTGGATCCCGTGGCATTGTAAGGAACTCAGTGCTGGCAGGGGTCTCCAAGTGGCTCCTCCAGCTTAGGGCACCTAGTGTAGCTCCATGTGTCTTGTCAGCTGCAATGTCTCCCAGGGAGTGGGCCTGCATCCTACCTCCATTGAGCTATTTATCTCCTTAGCACCTCCAAATGAGGTCATCAAACTGTGACCTAATTGACAGGCTAAACTCTCATTAATAAGTCTCACATTGACAACAGATTAACTACCACACCCTCGAACCATTCCCCCCCCAAATTCTATAATCTTCAATTTATACCACTTCAAAATGGTAGGTTTGCCACCTTCCAAGGATTCAAACTGTGTTCCTTTGAAATATTTTTTGAGGTTTGGGACCCAAGAGAAGCAGAAGGGCTGTAGGCCAGATGGGACAAGATTTTCCAAAGAAATCCTTGTAGGAACAACCCTGGCTGCCCTGGAAGAGTGAGCAGGTCCACTGTTGTAATGGGAGAGAATGTCTCAGTACTACTCTCTTGGCCTCTTCTTACTCAGCACAGTTTGTAATTTTCTTAAAACTTCTTTGTAATAAACTACTATGATTGTCCTGTGTCCTTTTGAAAAAATTATCCCTTTGGAATTCCAAAAAACATAAACCTCCAAGCTGACCTCTCTGCCTTGGATTTATTTTTTAAAGTTATTTATTTAAAAAAATCATTCTATTGGAGGCTCTTACAAATATATCAATTCATAGATGAATTATATCAAATGAACTTATACATGTTGCCATCATTTTGAAAACATTATATTTCTACTTGAGCCCTTTGATATCAGCTCTTTTTCCCTCCCTCCTCCACCCTCTTGCCTTCGTGAACCCTTAATCAATTAGATGTAATGATTTTTTAATATCTTACACTGTCCGCTGTTAACCCTTTAACCACATTTCTGTTATTTGTCCCCCTGGGGGGGGGGCGGTTATAAATCCATCATTGCTATCTCCCCCTATCTCCCCCACCCCCCTTTCTTCCCATACCCTCATGGTGTCCCTACTCCTGTTACTGTTTCTGAGGGGTTGATCTGTCCTGGAATCTAGGTGTCAAAAGTACTTATTTGTAGCAATGTACATATTCCGGTCTGGGGTCATGATATTGGGAGGAAACATTAAAGAACTAGAGGAATGCTGTGTATTTTGTGGGTGTCATACTGGACCATGGATGAATTGTCCCTTCTGTGAGGGAATGTTCAATTGTCTATAGATGGGTCTCCATTCTGACACCTTTCCTTCACATCAATATGATTGTTTGGTTTTGAGCTCCCGATACCTGATCCCATCAACACCTTGTGATCACACAGGCTGGTGTGCTGCTTCCATGTGGGCTTTGTTGCTTCCCTGCTAGATGGCCGCTTGTTTAACTTCAGGCCTTTAAGACCCCAGACGCTATATCTTTTGATAGCCAGGCACCATCAATTTCTTCACTACATTTACGTATGCACCCATTTTGTCTTCAGTGATTGTGTCGGGAAGTTGAGTATCACAGAGTGCCAGATTACTAGAACAAAGTGTTCTTCGGCTGAGGGAAGACTTAAGTAGAGGCCCAGAGTCCATCTGCTACTTAAATACTTTTAACATATAAATATATGTACATAGACCAGTACCCTTATCTTTATATATTAGTATATTTACATACATACATGTCTATATTTATACCTTTATGTGTAGCTTTTGCTGCCTAGTTCTTTCCCCTATTTTCCTTTTCCTTTCCTCCTGTCCACTCATGTTCAACCTTCATTCGGCTTTCAGTAATTTCTCTCAGCTACATTACAGTAATTTCTCTCAGCTACCCCCCAGGCAGTCTACACCCTCCTTGTCATTGATTTCAGATCTCTTACTGTTCCCTGCTCCTGAATTTGTTGTCTCCCTTGAATTTATTAACTGGCCCAGTAAGCCCCTGGAAGCCATTCATTTGATTTGGCTTTTTTTCTTTTGAAGACCACCCTAACAAGACTAAGATGAGTGTATTATTGAGAGAACATGTCAGCAGCCACCCACTCATTCCAGAGACATGTTTAAAAATGTTTTCTTTGGAATAAACCCATGCATATATGAACTGGAACCCCACAGCAATATTGTTTACTCATCCTAGCATTTTTAAAGTATTTCCAGGGGAAGTAAACTAAAAAGAAACTGACTGCCATTGAGTTTATTCCTATTCATAGCGATCCTAGAGGATTTCTTTCCAGGAATCAGGGACTCTTGTCCTTATACCACGTTGCCAAAAGATACCAGGACCCTGTGTACCTGAGTGCCAGCCCCCACCAGTTGCCATCAAGTGCATTCCAACCCAAGGCAGCCCTGCGGGACCAGGTGGGACTGCTCCAGGGCACTTCCGAGGCTGCACCCCCGCTGGGAGCCCACTGCCACACCTTTCTCTGAGGGAACGCAGGCCAGAGCAGAGCTGCCAGACAACCGGACCTGTTCAGTTAACCACTGCTTCACCAGGGCTCCTTTTCTCATACCCCAAAGCCCACGAATTCCATCCAGGCTAAAGGATTTGGAAAGAATTCATTTGGCTCCTTACTCAGTCCCAGGATTACAGTTCTAACTGTTTGGAAACTGAGGAGATGAGGAAGTGTGGGCTTTGGAAGTGATCGATCATCTTATGGCCTTTCGGACTGGACCATTGTCAATGCAGGGTGTGGTCAGTTACACAGTAAGTACATTTCACTATCTTTACTTTTGTTCTTTGATGACATTGGGAACTGAGCGAAAAAATTGCAATTTATGATGCTTACAATGATGTCACCTCAAGACTTGGCAAGGTTTAGTCTCTACAGATTTTGCATGAAAAAGCTTTAAGGCGGCTGAAAATAACTGATCTAGTCATCAAATAGAAACCCTGGCAGCATAGTGGTTAAAATTTGGGCTGCTAACTGCAAGCTCAGCAGTTTGGAACCACGAGCTGCTCCTAAGGAGAAAGATGGGGCTTTCCCCCGGAAACTAAATTAAAGAGTTACAGCCTTGAAACTCACAGGGACAGTTCTACCCTGCCCTATGGGGTTGCTATAATTTGGCACCGACTCGATGGTTTTGGGTTTTAAGACAAGGAATGAAAGGAGTCCTGGTGTCGAAGTCGGCTACTAACCAGAAAGTAAGCAGGTCAAAGATACTAGCCACTCTAGGGGAGGAAGGCAGGCCTTTCTGCTCCTGTAAGGAGCAGCGATTACAGCCTTGGAAACCCATGCTTATTTACTCGAGTTTTGAGTCAAGGCGTATGATTATTTGGGTTTTATACTCAGAGTAGCCACAAGGTGTCACTGTAGCACATTCTTCATCATTAAAGCAAACTACAGAATGATAAGGGCAATAAATGTACAAATGTGCTTTACACAATCGATGTATGTATGGATTGTGATAAGAGTTGTATGAGCCCATATAAAATGATTTTTTTAAAAATTAAAGCAAACTACAAGGCCGGATTTTGAATTGCTTTCAGTAGTTCTGGTGGCAAAAAAAAAACAAAACACCCAAACAAAAAAACTTATCTAATTCTAAAGGCTATTTAAAGCTATTTGTAGTGATTAATTATTATCAGTTTCCTCTTCTTAACAAAATATCGTTACATTATCAAAATAAGCAAACAAACAAAACTAATAAAACAGAAAGATGCCTGGATATGAAAGGGAAAACTAATTGATTAAATTGGAAAAACATAATTCGTACAAATACAAATGGTAGAGAATTAAAGGAGAGAACAAATAGTAATATTATATAGTTTAATTGACAAATATTTCAGTCATTAGACCTTTAAAATTCTAAGAAGAACAAAGCTTAGAACCATTCTAACATCTATTTAAAGCCCTTGTTGGTTAACATCTACCATTTTCCCTGTCTTTAGCTGCCCACGCAGGGCAGGCATCTGCTTCCCCCAGGGCCAGGTGCGAACAGCTGGTGACAGGAGAGAGAACTTCCTTCTCCTTTAACCTTTTTCATCACAAGAAGGGGAAAGGGTCAGTTCAATTCCCCAAATGAGCTCAATAGCATGGGCCCATTTGCTACTCCATTTCCCAAAGCACAGGTATGCCTGGTTTTATTTTCACAAAATTTCTAGTTGTGTAATTATTTTTAAAAATTTTCTATTCAGATACGGTTTTCCAGGAGTGATGATTGTTTTACTTAGTGATGTACAATTTTCCTGTAAGTTAAAATCATGCCATTAAAAGATACAGTATTAAGAAAATAGCATAGGTGGCCAGAAATGAAAGATGGTCATCCAAGTTGGATTAGTCTAGACAACACTGCCTTCATGAAGCCACGTGAGTACCTGCAGCCTTATGACTCAAAACAGGATTCCCAGGACAGCTAAGGCAAAGACCATAGAGATCAGAGGTGTGCAGCACACAGCACAATTCGTTAGGGGCACTGCTGCCCTCTTGTTAGGCAAATGTGCACTCATTTGGGCTTTCTGTTTTGGTTTGTGACCAAAAGGAAAATATCTAGGTCAATATCTATTGTTCATAGACAACAACTAAGTCATAAAATATAAATGCCTAAAAGTTCAAACTGTATTAAAAAATATACACAACTTAATAGATACCCCATTCTGTTTTTTTAAACAAATAAGTGATTTTTAAAAAATCAGTGAATCATAAATTCAGGAGTCAAACAATAGTTTCATTAGGAACAACATATATTTTAGAAATTTCATTTCATTTAGATTTTAAAAAATTCCCTTTCTATTTTATACGATCCTTTTCTATAGTCTTACATGAAGAAAATATAGTAATTGGCATGTTTTAGTGACAAACCTTTGTTATCCCAATGCCTGAACTCAGACTCTGACTTGCATTACTACTCGACCCTATTCAATGTCAGCATTGTGTGAACAAGGCCACCACCTTCTTACCTCACAAGACTGTAGGAAAAACCTAACAGGTCGTATAAGAACCAAACAAGAAGAAATTATTGTGGGATTGTAGATAAAGGAACTTGAACAACTTTTACAGACTGAGTAATGTGAAGGTAGAGAAGAGCTTCTTTTCAATTAGGAGACACTGACAGTACAAAACCAAACCAAAGTCACTGCCACTGAGTTGACGGCCCCCATGGAGGCCCTCGAGGACAAGGTCTCACTGCCCCTGTGCATTTTTGAGACAGTAACTGCTTAAGGTGACCTTGTGGGTCACAGCCCAGTGTATAACCACTACACCACCAGGGCTCCTGCAAAGTACAAAAGAGCGCAACAATTCCCTCAAGACATTTTCTTTTTGTTCGAGTATGATGGTAAGTAAAGGAACATAAACCAAACGAAACTCACTGTCATGGACTCAATTCCTGCTCAGTGTGACGCTACAGCACAGTTTCTGAGGCTGTGCATTTTTATGGGAGCAGAAAGCCTCATTTGCTCCCATGGATCACCTGGTGGGTTTGAACTGTTAACCTTGAGGTTAGCAGCCCAATGTGTACTCCACAAGGCTACCAAGGCTCCTTAAATTAAGGGGAAATTAGCCTAAAATTATCAGTAACAATCTCTGAATGACCATGATAAAGGTCTGTCCCAAACCCAAGTTCTATTATATGTTTTCAATTAGCTTTAACATACTTTTAACTATAGAGTGAAATACAAGGATATCATAAAAAAACTCGTTCTCTCACTTTGTTCTTTAAAAATACTTTTTAAATGGCATTTTATAAGCTACAATGCTTTTACTAAGGTGATTGAAGAAAACCAAATTTGTTCACAACTATCTAATAATTATTCCATAACAGATACAGAACTCTCATGACCACTCCTGCTATGCTCAGACGGCACTTTCTTCCACTTTCTTCCATTTGCTGCTCCCCATCGCCCTTGGAGGGGCTAAACCCTCAAGGTTCGGATGGAGCAGAAGCAAGAAGCTTCAACACTCATCACAGGGTGGCAGCAGGTTTCCAAGGGAACAAGAAATAAGTGGAGTAGCATGGACCCTGGCCAATAGGTAAAATGAATGGTCGGTCTAGGAGTTCAGATAAAATATTGTATTTGCCATGAATATTCTTCAATTACTAAAACTGATAACCATATGGAAAAGGTTAAAGTTCCTATTTACTACTTACTGAAAATCCATAATGTACAAAAATACACTCAACAGCATAAAGACACATGGACAGACAGAGGATATACGTTTTATGAGCATGTTCACAGTATGAAGCGAGAATCTCTTGGTACTGGTTGTATGAAACAGGATCATGCAAGCAGGCCAAAAGGGAACGCATAGGATGCCAGGATGTTAGCTTCTGTCTGATGAGCAGACAGTATCAGCCCACACTTGTACCTCGATTTTCTGAAATTCCCATGCTTAGGGGATCTTCGACAAGGCAGATAGATACTTGAGCCTTTACTGTGGCTCAAAAGGTTTTTTTTTAAATTGCCTTTGTCCAGCAAACACCAGTCATTGTGACTGGAAACAATGATCCCAGGAATCTCCCTTTCACACAGTGATGATGATTGAAGGAAACTGTCAAGAAAACTCATCCACAGAATACTTACTAAGTACTTCTGAAGGTGAAGATTCTCACAAGTGCTAGAAACACTGATGCTCGTCAAAAAGAGCACCTCACCTCAAAGGCTCCTAACATCATGCCAGCCACTGGTGGTCTGTTTTCTATTTCTGCTTAAGTCAATGTATGTGGGGACACGCAAGCACACATATGTAACAATACTTATTTTGAGACTAAGTTCAATAGAAGAAATGTGAGGAAGGTGATTAAGTGATAATAGTGAAGGAGAGTCTACAGGAAACAGAAAAGTCAGTTTAGTTGATAGAAAGGCAGTAAATAGTGGATGGATGATATAGAATGCAGAATAAGGCACATGGAGTTACATATATGTATTTGACTTTAAAACAGAAAGTTATGTGTTTGGTCATTAATTGTGACTTTTTTGAAGTGTATATAGAGATACGCTTCCTAGGGAAGTAACTACTATTATTAAAAATTTATGCTTACTTTTAGGAGATTTTAATGAAATATAGATTAACTGCATGTATCTATATGTATACAAATAATATCATAATTGTCCTATTATTCAGAAAATGCTCTTTCACTTAATATCACATCATGGACGACTCTTGAAGTAAACTCAGCCAGCTCTAACTACCAGCACCCGTAAAGGACGGGGTCGCCAAGGCTGTCAGTGCATACAGGAGTCGAAAGTCTCGTCTTTCTCCTGGAGAGCGGCTGGTGGGGTAGAACTGCTGGCTCCGCAGTTGGCCCTGGGGCTCACAGAACTGCTTTCCTGCAGGACATTCTTTAGACGAGGCCCAGTGGCCCAGCAACAGCAGAGGCCATGGAAACAATCATCCAACAGTCTTGCAGCTGTGTCCTCATAGAGGAACACAGCACACTCTAATGACTATAATAATATACCACTTAAATTTCCTAAAAATAGTAGCTGGTCTGAAGCTAGACACAGCACCCCTCAGTTTGTTATCCACATATGAACTTGGTTTAGTACAATGTGACTTACGACACTTGTAAAGCTGCATTTATTTCCTTGAGTAGCTCGTTAGTCTTATTAAAATCTGCCCGCATGATATTTTTCTCTCTCAGGTGGTCTGCTGTCATGACATCCAGCTCTTTTTCAAATCTCTTGTTTAAATCTTGTTCATGCAACCTGTTTAATTTATTTTTAGTTAAGAAAATGTTATTCTGAAGTCAAGCTTTTAAAAGTTTCTATAGTCTCTTAGATTTGAAACATTCAGAGGTACCAACAACACTCCCCCAGTGCTACCGAGTTGATTCCAGAGACCCCATGGGCCAGCGTAGAACTACCTCCACAGGATTTCTGGAAGCAGACTCCACGTCTTTCTCCCCCGGAGCGGCTGGGGGATGTGAACCGTTGACTCACAGTCCAGCCCTTTAGCCACAGCGTCACCACATTCCCTTGTTGTAGGTACAATCTACTGAAAATTGCCTCAATGAAGCTACTTTCCTCTAATCTTCTAGCTTGTTAAATTGTCTCCTTTAATGCTTTTTTACTTTATAAAAATAACATTTAAAAAGCCTTTAGTGTATTAAATCTAATTTCAAAGTTAACAAATATATATGAATCACTTAAACCAGCGTGCCATCGATGTTATGAATTGTGGCACAAACAGAGTAGAAAGTGGCCTTCAGTAGTTCACTAGAGGAGAAGTCTACCAGCTAAACAGCACGCCCACAGTCTCTGAAATGCACAGCATGCTTACTCGGCTGGAACTTTGGCATACCTCATCTGTTGGTTAGATTCGCTTCGTATTCTGAGCACTTCTTGGCCCTTGAATTCCAGTTCTTTGGTTAGGGCCTTGATATTCTCATGAAGGTGCTGGACCTCGTTATCCAAATCAGAGATGTGGTGCTCTCTGTGCCTTAACTCCTCTTGGAGGTCTGTTAATCTGCCCATGTGCTCCTGGCTCTGAAGAACACGAATACCTCTAAGACATTCTCTACGTACCAGATGACTGTCTTTTTGAGAGAGAATAAATGACATGCTGTCAAATGTCCCCCCCTGGAGGGGGCTTCAGAGCAAACTAAAACTGAGACAACCTCTGGGCCTCTCCTCTTTCGATACATTGGGATGGGAACGCAGCTCCAATAATGTCAGCGCTACACAGGATCCAGAAGATCCTAAAAGCCCATTTCCCTCATTTTATAGACGAGGAAACACAAAGCTGAGGAAAGAACATAGACCTTTTATATACTCGGTAAGTTATATGAGAGGCTTCAAAAAGTTTGTAGAAAAACAGAATGAAAACCTAATGGAATTTACCCATGACATTTTTGAAGCCCATTGGTCTGGAATTATAAGGAGCTAGCACTGCTGTCCTTTAATATAAAATAACTTTTGTTTAGACAGGCCATTGCTAAACACACACACACACACACACACACACACACACCCAACATAGAAAGCAGACTCTGCCCAGTGATGCTCCAGCAATGACCATCCATGGCAGATAAGCTCCCTTAAGTTTTCCTAGGAGTCACTGTCCTGCAAGTGCTGCAAGAGGAGACACTGCTGGTCTGAGAGTTAGCTCACTTGGAAGTGAGCATAACTTCCCTCCATTGTTTAGGTTCTTTGAGAATCTCCTGGCAATGAGGAGAAACTAGGGGTGTGTCGCTGACATAGCTGAAGACTAACAGAGCATAAGGCACAGATTAATAAATAATCATGAACAGTCTACCCTGTTCAAACCCTAAAATAGACAGTATAAATTCACACATTTCATATTATAAACTCTCTAATTAAAGGAATACATATTTGGTCACAGGAGCCCTGGTGATGCAGTGGCTAATGCACTCAACCGCTGTCCCAAAGGTGGGCAATTTAAATCCACCAGCAATTCCATGGGAGAAAGATATGGCAGGTGGCCTCTACAAAGATTCAATAGCCTAAGAAAAGGAGGGGGCAGTTCTACTCTGTCTTACAGGGCTGCTATAAGTCAAAATTGACTAATTGTGTGGAATACTAGCCCAAAGAATACAGCTTAAAAATACGAAAAGTAGCTGTGTGGAAATATGAATTACCTTTTTTTTTTTTTCTTGTGGGCCTGCTTTTTCTAAAGCCGTGCTACCCAATATGGCTGTTTAACTCTTTCCGCCGTTGGACTGGTCATATGTGGCCCGTACGTCTAGTGACTCCCATGGTGGATTTAAAGTGCTACTGGACAGCACCACTGTCATATGGTACTCTCTCCTCAGTCTTCATCTTACTTATGTATTTCATTGTCCACTTTCCCAGGATGGAAGTAAATTCAAAACATTAAAAGACCAGGAGATAAAATGTGATGTCATGGCCCACAAACACTAAGGTCAAATTACTAACTTCTCTTTTAAAATAAAACTATTCAACGAACATAATAAATCATAACTAGTGAGAACACTATTACAAAATAATTGCGAACATTTAATTAGTTCACATTTAAGAAATCTTCACAGAACAGAATGTTCTCATTTACCTGTCTTCTGCCGATGTCTATGCTTCTCTCTAGTTCCATTTTAGCAGCTGCCAGTTCCTGATGGTGACTATGCCGTAGTAAATCAATTGCAGCTGCATGTTGATGGTTCAGTTCTGAGCGTAGGGAAGCTGGTAGTCAAGGAATAAAAGAGGTATACATATTTCCAAATGTTACTGATAATTTAGATAAAAATTATAAAAGTCTTAGGCTGTTATTTTACATAAGGGCACATTTATATGTCTATTAAATTATTGTCTACAAACCCAGGGTCAAGGGAACAACAAGCGATCCAAATTAGTGGGGAGGTGGGTGTGGGAGACCTGGTAGGGCA